CCTATAAAGGTTCATACTCCAACGAACTTACACAAAGTGAAATTCAATTCTTAAATGAAATGGTCATCAAAGTATCTGAAGCGTGATGTGGATTGTTGTTCAGACAAGGGGCTTGCTGGGTACCATAGTGACAGAGACATAAACAATTTTATGAGCACCAAGAAATCAATAACAGTTTTGAAATAATTGCTAATATTTAATGTATAATGTTTTTTTGCTAATTGATTTGCAAGTAATGGCTCAACAATGATGATAACTGATTGAACTGTATACAAGATTGATTCTATAAATGACAAAGTTATTGCGTGCTTACATCGTTTTTTCTGAACTGGTAAAGGGTAGCACAGTTGCATTAGTTCGCTGTGACAAACATCAAACATATCTGATACGAATTAAATAGGAAGTTCGTTAACCTTGGCCAGCTATATTGATTGTGCCTATTAGTTACACATGACACGACACATATAATCATACTGTTGGGTATTTGTTTGGTAGCTGAGTGGCACGTGACCTTGTATCTCCTCAGTGCAGGGATGTCAGTGTACTATTTTTTCAAATTTAAAAAAACCCCAGTTATGTCCTTGTTTCTCAACACTTGTAATGACCTTGTAATTTGAGAATAGCCATGGCACTGTTCTTGAGCAGAGTGATGCCATTGTAGCTATTGAACTGACTGATGCTATTATCTTTCTTGACCTCAGTGATGCCGTTGTTTTCCTTGAGCTCAGCGATATTGAACACAGCGATGACCTTGGTTTATTTGAGAAAAGTGGTGTTGTTTCTCTTGGTTTGCTTTAGCAAAGTGGTGTTGTTTTGCTTGAGCGCAGCGATGACCTGAGTTTTCTTGAAACAAGTGGTGTTCTTTCTCTTGAGAGCAACGATGACCTTGGTTTACTTAAGGGAGTGAGTGAGTGAGTGAGTGAGTGAGTTGGGGTTTAACGCCGCTTTTAACAGTTTTACAGTTATATCGCGGCGTGTCAGCTTAATTAGCGAGGAAAGCCCGAAGTGATGCAGGTCTCAGACGTTTAACACTTGGGTGAAACCCACGAGCACGGGTATGGTGCTGACAAACCTAGAAACATAATTGGGGCGAACCGGGATTCGAACCCACAATCATAGGTTTCTAGCGTGCCCAAGGGACGCAACTCTGCACAGAGAATCGCGGTGCCTTAGACGACTGGGCCATGTTTACTTGAGAACAGCGATGGGTGTTACCTTTGATCGCAGCGATGACCTTAGTTTTTTGTGAGACAGTAAAGTTGTATCTCTTGAGCGCCGCGATGACACTGGTTTTCTTGAAAGAGTGGCTCTTTGGCGCCCTTCCTCGACCTCTGTATTACGGCCATTGCCATTGTTCCACTGGTTGGCGGTGGCCTTCCTCGACCCCTGTATTACGGCCTTTGCCATTGTTCCACTGGTGGGTGGTGGCCTTCCTCGACCTCTGTATCAAGGCCGTTGTCATTGTTCCACTGGTTGGCGGTGGCCTTCCTCGACCTCTGTAATACGGCCATTGCCATTGTTCCACTGGTTGGTGGTGGCCTTCCTTGACCTCTGTAATACGGCCGTTGTCATTGTTGCACTGGTTGGTGGTGGCCTTCCTCGACCTCTGTATTTAGGCCATTGCCATTGTTCCACTGGTTGGCGGTGGCCTTCCTCGACCCCTGTATTACGGCCTTTGCCATTGTTCCACTGGTGGGTGGTGGCCTTCCTCGACCTCTGTATCAAGGCCGTTGTCATTGTTGCACTGGTGGGTGGTGGCCTTCCTCGACCTCTGTATCAAGGCCGTTGCCATTGTTCCACTGGTGGGTGGTGGCCTTCCTCGACCTCTGTATCAAGGCCGTTGCCATTGTTGCACTGGTTGGTGGTGGCCTTCCTCGACCTCTGTATTACGGCCTTTGCCATTGTTCCACTGTTTGGTGGTGGCCTTCCTCGACCTCTGTATTACGGCCTTTGCCATTGTTCCACTGTTTGGTGGTGGCCTTCACCGACCTCTGTAATACGGCCATTGCCATTGTTCCACTGGTTGGTGGTGGCCTTCCTCGACCCGAGTATTACGGCCTTTGCCATTGTTCCACTGTTTGGTGGTGGTCTTCACCGACCTCTGTAATACGGCCATTGCCATTGTTCCACTGGTTGGTGGTGGCCTTCCTCGACCCGAGTATTACGGCCTTTGCCATTGTTCCACTGTTTGGTGGTGGTCTTCACCGACCTCTGTAATACGGCCATTGCCATTGTTCCACTGTTTGGTGGTGGCCTTCCTCGACCTCTGTATTACGGCCTTTGCCATTGTTCCACTGTTTGGTGGTGGCCTTCACCGACCTCTGTAATACGGCCATTGCCATTGTTCCACTGGTTGGTGGTGGCCTTCCTCGACCCGAGTATTACGGCCTTTGCCATTGTTCCACTGTTTGGTGGTGGTCTTCACCGACCTCTGTAATACGGCCATTGCCATTGTTCCACTGGTTGGTGGTGGCCTTCCTCGACCTCTGTATTACGGCCATTGCCATTGTTCCACTGTTTGGTGGTGGTCTTCACCGACCTCTGTAATACGGCCATTGCCATTGTTCCACTGTTTGGTGGTGGCCTTCCTCGACCTCTGTATTACGGCCTTTGCCATTGTTCCACTGTTTGGTGGTGGCCTTCACCGACCTCTTTAATACGGCCATTGCCATTGTTCCACTGGTTGGTGGTGGCCTTCCTCGACCTCTGTGTTAAGGCCATTGTCATGGTTCTACTGGTTGGTGGTGGCCTTCCTCGGCCTCTGTATTAAGGCCATTGTCATTGTTCCACCGGTTGGTGGTGGCCTTCCTCGGCCTCTGTATTAAGGCCATTGTCATTGTTCCACCGGTTGGTGGTGGCCTTTCTCGGCCTCTGTATTAAGGCCATTGTCATTGTTCCACCGGTTGGTGGTGGCCTTTCTCGGCCTCTGTATTAAGGCCATTGTCATTGTTCCACCGGTTGGTGGTGGCCTTTCTCGGCCTCTGTATTAAGGCCATTGTCATTGTTCCACCGGTTGGTGGTGGCCTTTCTCGGCCTCTGTATTAAGGCCATTGTCATTGTTCCACCGGTTGGTGGTGGCCTTTCTCGGCCTCTGTGTTATGGCCGTTGTTATTGTTCCACTCGCTGGTTGTGTCAAATTTGTGAATATATTGACACCTCGTTAGTCTGGACACTGGAAACATGGCCCACATATACACAGAACATAACTTCCGAAATAAATCCGAAATACCTTTACTTGGACCTTACGACGGGACCATCCAGATAAAGGGGTCATCACTGCATAACTAATTCATATTTTAATGATGATTTGGTTAACGTTGGATTGGGGATTGTGACGAAGGCTTGTGGCTGCGGTATCAACATGTGTCAGTGTGATTTAGCTCAGCGCTGGAGTCTAGGCTTCTGGAGGTAGAGGATGTGATGAGGAATGGGGTGTAGGTAATCACAAACAATAGAATGGTTAAAAGGTTTTATTTACAAAAAAGTTGTGTGAGAAACAGAACAGCAAAATCCCATTTTGAAAATGACTCTTGATCAACTTCGAATTTCAATATTATTTCATTCCGAAAGTTGTAGCATATGTACGGTATTCTGACCATATATTTACAGAATTACAATTAAAAAACTAAATAGGGAGAGCCTTTTTTGATTTTTTTAAATTTGGGTAAAACACAGGAAATGCAAGGGGGCTGGTTGCCTTAAGATTCATCACTCGTATATTCAGTGAATCGAACCGTATCCCTTCATGAATTGAATTCGTTATTCGTGTTCACCAGAATCGAATATTTATGATTGCTTTTTAAAAGAGTGTTTTAACTTGAAATCGTCTGTTACGTATCAAAGCGAGATATGCAAAATGGAATATATACAAACCAGGCAGCAGCTTAACTTGTGTCAGTTTGCCAAGGCCTCTCATGGTACTGTCAAGCAAAACCGTAGGCTATAAGCGGCATTGTCGCGATGTATTGCTTGTTTGCTTAACAAAATATATCACATAAATGTTTCAACCTAAGCAATTACATGACGTACATTTACGTACGTTTTTAACAAACTCAAGTTTTACACTGACACGATGTTTTTTCCCCAAAGAAAGACTATACCAGCAGATTATCGTGAGAACGTAACACCGGAAGTCACAAATTCTTAACTGAATTACGCAATTTAATCCTATCATTTCACTATTTGGTTATAAGGTATATCTGGAGTTATGGCTGTTAGATATTTTATTAATTTTATTCAAAATTTCATTCACTATTGTTTACTTTAACTTCGGGGAAATCGTGCACCGACTCACTGTTATTTACAGCAACCATGATCAGATTGGCGCTTTGAAACGAACCTCAATTTTCAGAAGGATGGATACATGTACCAAGAATGTCATATTTTGTCACACTTCCGGACAACGGGTCCAGTATACTGCCGGACAGCGGGTCTAGCACACTGCCGGACAGCGGTTCCAGTACACTGCCGGACAACCAGCAAAATTAAAAAAAGTATCAAGACATCAACCGGCGCCTGACTGCACTGAAAGACAGGCTGTCACGAGATGACATCACTCCCATCGACTACGCAGACAATGCAACATTTGTACTTAAGTTATTGTAACTGTGTATGGACGATGTATAAACTGTGTTTAAATGTGCACTTCAATTATTAAATTGAGGCGAGGTGAGGTGAAATTAGGTTTAACGTCGCGTCCAAGAATATTGCACTTATATAGCGACATGTAGGCACGTGTGTGTGTGTGTGTGTGTTTGTGTGTGTGTGTGTGTGTGTGTGTGTGTGTGTGTGTGTGTGTGTGTGTGTGTGTGTGTGTGTGTGTGTGTGTGTTTGTGTGTGTGTGTGTGTGTGTGTGTGTGTGTGTTTGTGTGTGTGTGTGTGTGTGACTGCTTGTACTAGTCCGGACTGATGCCGATTTATAGTGCTAATTCACCGAGATACCATGCCGCAGTTTAACATGAATACCCCACTCAGACACAGTATACTGACTCCGAGCCGACAAGTCCTTGTTTTAGCCCCTAATGCCGAGTGCCAGACAGGGTAACAACAAATATCATATTTCATCGTCTTTTGGCATGACGCGGTCGGGGATCGGGCGGACGCTCTACCACAAGAACACGGTGGCGGTCTTAAAATTGATGTATTTCAGGGTATTCTTAAATTAAAATCAAATAACTGTAACTGGTGTATAGTTCGTTCTTTCCTCATTCCTATTTTTCAACTCTCCCTAATCCTTAAATAAACACATCATGGCCATTGCTCAAGTTAATTGGTTACCTGGCCAAGAGGTGAACCGTTTTAGCGTTTTGTTTGTACACCCTTGGAGGCGCCGCGTTCCTGAGAATAAACCGAATCATGATGCCTAGTGATCTCAAACTTCATTTTTTTTATTGACTAAGTTTGTTATAATCTGTTTTCATCGAATTCGCTAAAGGGATACGATGTAGTTTTTTACTTCGCATAATAGTCGATAATTGTGTATTTAATACTTTAAAGCATAAACAACTACACTATTTTAATCCTTTTAATCATCCACAACTCCACCTCGGTTAAACGGATGATTGTCTATACTTCAAAATAACCTTAACCTGAAGTAGATGTGCATGTAAAGCTGAGGGCCTTGAATGCCCACTGGAAACTGTAACAGGGTATAGTCATGAATCGAATGGCCTTAATTTAAATAAATGCTTGAATCAAGATTGACAGATTCACAGTTTTTCTGAGTAAACTGCCACAACACTAACGTGTAGACATGTATATTCACAGGGCCGACGACTCTGTTTTCGTGGCCATTTTGTCCGGCAGTTCGCGGGTTTCGTCAGTGGGTTTGTCGCCACCTTGAAACTTAAGCACAGCGAAGGCGATACCGAAGAACAGCATGCTGACAGCTCTCCCAGCACTTTCCGTTGTCTTCAGTCGGAGTCGCAGAGATTCCAGGTCGTACTGTGAGCACGCACCTCTGATGCCACATGACCTCTCCCAAATAAGGCATGTACCGTCAATGACGTAGCCGAACACGATGGGAGCCGGAAGGAATCCTGCAACAGAATGTAAAACATTGTAGTTAAAGAGATAGTTCTTAACAAGTCAGCAAGACTTCCTAGTGGGTTTGTTCCAAAATCACCCGTTTATTATGTTTTAAACTCAATTTCGAAATATCAAAGAAATCAATACATGATTAAAGCGGCCTTTATCGTAATATAACACATACGTGCACTTGTACAGAGACGGACTATGAGAATGCATGTTATATCTTTTAGGTAATAATATTACAACTTCATCATGGCGGCCTGTACCTAATCAAGTCTGTTGAGGTGAGGTGAAATGGCGTTTAATGTTACGTCCAAGACTATTACATTTACCGGCAAGAACTAAATGCCGATTTTTATAGTGTTATCCCACTGAGATACCATGCCGCAGTTTAACATGAATACCCCACTTAGACACAGTATACTGGCTCCGAGCCGACCAGTCCTTGCTTTAGTCCCTTAATACCGAGTGCAAGACAGGGTAACAACAGGTACCGTGCACCTTTTAACGTATGACGCGGTCTGGCTACACAATGTACGAATGTAACACCCATGATCCAAATTGCTCTCACGACAAGCATGGGGTGGGGGGTGACATATTCTGTCCCCAAAACACCATGTCATCATCGGAATCCCAGCGGTACGTTTGGACATACTATACCTACAAGGAACGGTGACACAGGAAGGTCGATACCAAACAGATAGCCAATCCCTGCCTTTCGTACACTGGAGAGGAGAGCATATCACAATGTAGGACTTTGTGCAGGGCCTATTGTCTGACAATTTTAAATGTGCAATTTTCTGGGATTTTTTTAAATTTAATTTAAACATTTGTGAACAATTTTTCTTGAAATTGTTTTGAAAAATGAATAATATTAATCCTAATTGTGATTAAAAATATTTTTATTTTTTTCTTGATCCTACATCAAATTATCCAGAAGTATCGTTCCAAGGAAGGAAGCATTTGATGAAGCTGCTTTTTTAAGGAGTTTATTCAGCCTGTAACAGGTATTGGTTGCTAAATGGTGCGTGGGTGGGAGATATTGAGGAATATAAAACAGACGTTGACAGCCAACGCTGACCCAACGTCTGAATGCTAGCTGGTGTCAAGGCTAGAAAATTCAAAATATGCTGTGGTCAGAAAAAGAAACAATTTGATGGTAAAATAGTTGAAGATTTGAAAGATGCTGCAAAACATGGTAATTGTAAAACATTTTGGAACACCCTTAAACGGGTTTTATGTAGCAAACACTCTAAATGTGCAATATCTCCTGATGCTCTTCAGTTATATTTTAAAGATTTGTTAAACTCTAACAAAACAGAAGTGAATGAAGATTTTAATGTACTTGTAAATGAATTCATTGACAGTCACTCTTGTGATAATTGTGATAGCTTACCCATTACAGATGAGTTGTTATCAGATATTATTACTGATGAAGAAGTAGCTGAAGCGTTAAAAAGATTAAAACTCGGGAAATCTCCTGGTGAAGATGGAATCTCTCCAGAATTTTTTAAACTTTCAGAAACAATTCTTATTAAATACTTGAGACCTTTATTTAATAAAATATAAGATACCGGTATATTCCCTGAAGCATGGAACATTGGACTTATAATACCTATACATAAATCTGGTGTTACCTCTGACCCCCAGCAATTATAGAGGAATATCCCTGCTAAATGCAACTGGGAAATTATTCACGTCAATACTTGAAAAAAGACTACCATCATGGATGGATATAAACGATTTAATACATGAAGCACAAGCTGGATTCAGATCCAACTATTCAGTAACAGACAACATTTTCACACTCCAGGCTCTTTGTACTAAATATTAATCAAAGCGAGGGGGGCGATTTTAGTGTGCTTTCGTGATTTCATTGATTTCAAGAAAGCCTTTGACTTTGTGGAAAGGAAATAAATATTATATATGCTCTTACAAAAAGGTTGCCATGGCAAGTTGTATAATGTCTTAGCTAGTATGTATTCTGCTGTTAAGGCTTGTGTAAAAACAGACAAAGGCAGAACAGATTTGTTTACAACTAGCTCCGGTGTAAGACAAGGCTGTATCTTAAGCCCGCTTCTGTTTATCTTCTTTATTAATGAGCTTGTAACTGACATTTATAAAACGTGCTGTCATGGTGTGTTTGTTTCAGAAAGTATTGAAGATATTATGCTACTACTTTTTGCCGACGATGTGACTATGTTCTCATATACAGTTATTGGTCTACAAAGACAATTAGATATCTTAAGAAAATTTTGCATTACCTGGGGCCTAAGTGTGAATCTTGATAAAACAAAAACAATTGTTTTCCGAAACGGTGGCATTATACGAAAAAATGAAAAATGGTTCTATGGTTCTATAAATGTAAAACTTGTCACTTACTACAAGTATCTTGGAGTATTTTTCTCCTCAAGGCTAATCTGGTCAATGGACTGTAAAAGCCTAGCATCACAGGCTTCTAAAGCCACTAGAGCCATTTATCATGTTTTCAAAAGAAATAGCTATATAACATTCGAAACAGTTTGTACAATGTTTGATTGTAAGATTGCTCCTATATTACTTTATGGGGCTGAAATCTGGGGGGCAAAATATTATGAATGTATAGAAAAGTACATACGTCCTATTTTAAAAATTATCTTTGTATCAGAAAATATGCCTCTAATAAAGCTATTCTTGGTGAAACTGGACGATTAAATATGTTCGTGTTTAGCAAAATAAGGGTACTTAAATACTGGTTGAGATTGCTACGTATGAATCAATGTCGATATTCAAAACAATGTTACAATCTACTTAAACAGTTAGATGATAATGATAAACACACCTGGGTGTCTGATGTAAGATATATTTTGTTTTCTTCAGGCTTTTCATTTGTATGGATCTCTCAACATATTGGCGATGAAAATCTCTTTTTGTTAAAAATAAAACAAAGGCTGAGTGATATGTATTCTCAAGAGTGGCATGACTCTATTTCTTCATCAAAATATCTGTCACATTATGCAAATTTGAAATCACTTTTACAGCCAGAATTTTACATCAGTAATCTCACGAATAAATCACTCAGGAGAGCATATTGTAAATACAGAATATCGCTACACGGTTTTAAGATTAACATGCTACGAAAGTCAAAACATACAAATGAAGACTTGAGTTTATATCTTTGTACCCACTGTACAGGGAGGCAATTAGAGGATGAATTTCATGTTTTGTTTATATGTTCAAAATATTCTTCTGTCAGAAAGCACTATTTGCTTTGGTTATCCAATGTCCATCATGATAATCACATTTTATGTAATCTACTCAACTCCAAAAATATCAACATTGTAAAGGCTTTGGCCTTATACTTAAATCATGTATTTAATGTGAAATAAGACTACTTGTATTTATTTTCCTGACATCACGTGACGCAGCAATTATTGTAATTGTAATTGTACTCTAGGCCACATGGCCCAAAATACTGAATAAAGAATCTTGAATCTTGTCAAGGCTAGACATAAATTATATATATTTGTGAGGGGATACTTCACTGTGTCTTAAACATTGAAAATAAATGACAATACAGTCAGTTGCAATTTACTCCGACATACAAAATTATGTTCGTTACATACGAAATCAATTATAAACTATGCAAAATATGTTGGGTATATTATATTTTGAGGTAAAACTACAGGATAATACCGAACGCTCAAAGACACTTTTTTAACACATTTTATCATTGAGTAAGCAAAAGCATTCATCATTCGACGTTTGCAACGTGCTGAACGGTTACGTGCAACAGGTAACCTGCAGGTGGACACACGTCACACACGCCCGAATGCTGCATGTTTCTCAATCTGTCATCAGCAGATTGTGGGCCCGATACCCACAAACACATATCGTCGATGATCGGCGCCGCTTTGGACGCCCAAGGCCAACAACTCAAACCCAGGGCAGATTAGTCAGAACGATGGCATTAAAAATCATCGGTTGCAAACTTTCACTCAGTTAAGGGACCGGTTGCAACTGGTGTAAGAGTACATGCCCAGACGGTGCCAAATCGTCTGCACAGATGACATTTGCGTGCACGACGTCCACAACGTACTGCACGTCATTTGAATCAGAGGCGTCAGTGGAGCAGGGAACGTCAGCACTGGGACAAACGACTTTGGTTAATGACATGTTTTCTGACGAATCGAGGTTCACTCTCGACTTCCATGACCAAAGTTATCGAGTTTGGAGACATCCTAATGAACGTTTTTTGGACGTTAACGTCGTACAGAATAATCATTTTGGGGGTAGGTTCAGAATGGTATGGGGTGATATCACAATGACTGCAGCTGTCTGAACTGCTTTCCATATTGTCCAGTGGGGAGTCACAGGTCAATACGATCGGGACGACATCATTGCACCACTCGTGCTGCCATTTGCACAACGTGTTTGGCAACGCTTCATCTTTCAAGATGAAAATGGACGTGCTCATTGTGCCAGGCTTGTGACCCATTTCCTCCAACAGCAAAATATCCATGACATGCTTTTGCCAGCACTTATTCCTGACCTTTCCCCTATTGAACAAGTATAGGACGTCATTGGCAGACGTGTACGTCAACGTCAAAGTCCATCCACCACTCTCAATGAACTCGGTGATGCACTCACTGATGAGTGGAACGACATGAGTCAAGTTGACATTGGTCGACTCATCAGAAGCATGCCTCGAACAACTCGTGCATGTCTGGTCAACAGTTGTGGTTTTTACCCGTTGTTAGTGGCGTTGGCTTCAAAATGCATTTTTTTTAACCCCGACACCTTTAAAGACTAGTGCGCCACCATCTCATCACACAAACCATTAGAACCTATTTGATCTCATCGACTCCCAAGCAGATATGATCATACCATTCCCAATTGCCAATACCATATTCGTCAGAGGATAGGTCTTGATGATTCCCACTATCCCCTACTTTTTTCGCATAGTATATAGATAGTGTTACGTCAGTTTCGGAATTGGAATGTGCTATCGTCGATATTTCACGTGACCCGATTTCTTTACATTTTGTGTTGACAACAAGTACAATACGTGGATATATGTGGCAGTCATACGTCCACCTACCAAGCAGGGATGCCAGAAACGAAAACAGTCCAAACGCCGTCGCCTTGTCCTTGCCCTCAACGCTCCTGTAAAACATAAAAAGCAAAGTTGTATTATTAGTTGTGTCGCAAGTAGCATTAACGTTGGTGTTATTATTTGTGACAAAAGCAGTATTCGTAAATAAACCTGGGTGTAATGAGTTGCGTTGAAAAGATCGATGTTGAAAGCTATTCATCAGCAGGCCAAATATGTTCCTCGTTGTAAATAATAGCTCTCACGAATCATCAAGCTGTTGAGAACTTACATTGCGACGAAAGGTGTAACTTTCATATGGCACAACTCACTGAAATGTGAGTTTCCAAATAGTCAAATAGGTTCACTGTACAAATACTGAGTGAACCTAGATACAGCTTCCTTTGCAGCTACCTTTCAATACATCATGAACAAACGCTATCCATGAAGGGGTCCGAAAATCCGCCCCACAAAATCCCCCCATTTAAGATAGTGTAGCGTGAATGCTGACCATTTGAAGGAATGTAAGCCTGTAGACTAGTATGTCCTGGCATTGACTACCTGAGATGATGTTGTTTCTTCTAAGACTATGCCAACATTCTTCCATGAAGGTCTGAGTGTGTAGGTGAGGTGAGGTGAGGTGAAATGAAGTTTAATGTCCCGTCCAAGATTATTGCACGTGTGTGTGTTTATGTGTGTGTGTGTGTGTGTGTGTGTGTGTGTGTGTGTGTGTGTGTGTGTGTGTGTGTGTGTGTGTGTGTGTGTGTGTGTGTGTGTGTGTGTGTGTGTGTGTGTGTGTGTTGCCGCTTGTACTAGTTTGGACTTATGCCGATTAATAGTGATACCTCACTGAGATACCATGCCGCAGTTTAACAAAGACACAGGAACATATGGTACAAGCAAAAACAGGAAATTGCAGACATAGTTTTTGTGACTGATGCGTCAAATTTGGAAATGTCCTCCACATGTCTGCCATAACACATTTTCAAAGCCTTACTGAGGCCTTGAATGGTGTAACCGCAACAGAACCACTTCTGAGTTGTATATCCTTGCACTGTACACCACTGATGATTACAACATCGATTCGAAATTACCCCTTTGCATAAGTTCTAGACATGAGCCACGATATATGCGACGAGAAGGTTTTAGTGTATGTACATAGAGAATATTAACAATATGAGCACCTTGGTGTATATAGATAGTTAATATCAACAATATAAGCGTCATGGTGTTTGTAGATAGTTAATATCAACAATATGAGCGCCACGGTGTATGTAGATAGTTAATATCAACAATACAAGCGTCATGGTGTTTGTAGATAGTTAATATCAACAATACAAGCGTCATGGTGTATGTAGATGGTTAATATCAACAATATGAGCGCCATGGTGTTTGTAAATAGCTAACACCAACAATACAAGCGTCATGGTGTATGTAGATAGTGAATATCAACAATATGTGCGCTGTGGTGTATGTAGATAGTTAATATCAACAATATGAGCGCCATGGTGTATGTAGATTGTGAATATCAACAATATGAGCGCCGTGGTGTATGTAGATAGTGAATATCAACAATGTGAGCGCCGTGGTGTATGTAGATAGTGAATATCAACAATATGAGCGTCATGGTGTATGTAGATAGTGAATATCAACAATATGAGCGCCATGGTGTTTGTAAATATCTAATATCAACAATACAAGCGTCATGGTGTATGTACATAGTTAATATCAACAATATGAGCACCATGGTGTATATAGATAGTTAATATCAACAATATGAGCGCCATGGTGTTTGTAAATAGCTAATATCAACAATACAAGCGTCATGGTGTATGTAGATAGTGAATATCAACAATATGTGCGCTGTGGTGTATGTAGATAGTGAATATCAATAACATGAGCGCCGTGGTGTATGTAGATAGTTAATATCAACAATATGAGCGCCATGGTGTTTGTAAATAGCTAATATCAACAATACAAGCGTCATGGTGTATGTAGATAGTGAATATCAACAATATGTGCGCTGTGGTGTATGTAGATAGTGAATATCAATAACATGAGCGCCGTGGTGTATGTAGATAGTGAATATCAACAATATGAGCGCCATGGTGTATGTAGATTGTGAATATCAACAATATGAGCGCCGTGGTGTATGTAGATAGTGAATATCAACAATATGAGCGCCGTGGTGTATGTAGATAGTGAATATCAACAATATGTGCGCCGTGGTGTATGTAGATTGTGAATATCAACAATATGAGCGCCGTGGTGTATGTAGATAGTGAATATCAACAATATGAGCGTCATGGTGTATGTAGATAGTTAATATCAACAATATGAGCGCCATGGTGTTTGTAAATAGCTAATATCAACAATACAAGCGTCATGGTGTATGTAGATAGTTAATATCAACAATATGTGCGCTGTGGTGTATGTAGATAGTGAATATCAACAATATGAGTGCTGTGGTGTATATAGATAGTTAATATCAACAATATGAGCGCCATGGTGTATGTAGATAGTGAATATCAACAATATGAGCGCCATGGTGTATGTAGATTGTGAATATCAACAATATGAGCGCCGTGGTGTATGTAGATAGTGAATATCAACAATGTGAGCGCCGTGGTGTATGTACATAGTGAATATCAACAATATGAGCGCCATGGTGTATGTACATAGTGAATATCAACAATACGAGCGCCGTGGTGTATATAGATAGTGAATATCAACAATATGAGCGCCGTGGTGTATGTACATAGTGAATATCAACAATATGAGCGCCGTGGTGTATGTAGATAGTGAATATCAACAATATGAGCGCCGTGGTGTATGTAGATAGTGAATATCAACAATATGAGCGCCATGGTGTATGTACATAGTGAATATCAACAATACGAGCGCCGTGGTGTATATAGATAGTGAATATCAACAATACGAGCGCCGTGGTGTATATAGATAGTGAATATCAACAATATGAGCGCCGTGGTGTATATAGATAGTTAATATCAACAATATGGGCGCCATGGTGTATATAGATAGTTAACATCAACAATACGAGCGCCATGGTGTATATAGATTGTGAATATCAACAATACGAGCGCCATGGTGTATATAGATAGTTAATATCAACAATATGGGCGCCATGGTGTTTGTAAATAGCTAATATCAACAATACAAGCGTCATGGTGTATGTAGATAGTTAACATCAACAATACGAGCGCCATGGTGTATATAGATTGTGAATATCAACAATACGAGCGCCATGGTGTATATAGATAGTTAATATCAACAATATGAGCGCCATGGTGTTTGTAAATAGCTAATATCAACAATACAAGCGTCATGGTGTATGTAGATAGTGAATATCAACAATATGTGCGCTGTGGTGTATGTAGATAGTGAATATCAATAACATGAGCGCCGTGGTGTATGTAGATAGTTAATATCAACAATATGAGCGCCATGGTGTTTGTAAATAGCTAATATCAACAATACAAGCGTCATGGTGTATGTAGATTGTGAATATCAACAATATGTGCGCTGTGGTGTATGTAGATAGTGAATATCAATAACATGAGCGCCATGGTGTATGTAGATAGTGAATATCAACAATATGAGCGCCATGGTGTATGTAGATTGTGAATATCAACAATATGAGCGCCGTGGTGTATGTAGATAGTGAATATCAACAATATGAGCGCCGTGGTGTATGTAGATAGTGAATATCAACAATATGTGCGCCGTGGTGTATGTAGATTGTGAATATCAACAATATGAGCGCCGTGGTGTATGTAGATAGTGAATATCAACAATATGAGCGTCATGGTGTATGTAGATAGTTAATATCAACAATATGAGCGCCATGGTGTTTGTAAATAGCTAATATCAACAATACAAGCGTCATGGTGTATGTAGATAGTGAATATCAACAATATGTGCGCTGTGGTGTATGTAGATAGTGAATATCAACAATATGAGCGCTGTGGTGTATATAGATAGTTAATATCAACAATATGAGCGCCATGGTGTATGTAGATAGTGAATATCAACAATATGAGCGCCATGGTGTATGTACATAGTGAATATCAACAATACGAGCGCCGTGGTGTATATAGATAGTGAATATCAACAATACGAGCGCCGTGGTGTATATAGATAGTGAATATCAACAATATGAGCGCCGTGGTGTATATAGATAGTTAATATCAACAATATGGGCGCCATGGTGTATATAGATAGTTAACATCAACAATACGAGCGCCATGGTGTATATAGATTGTGAATATCAACAATACGAGCGCCATGGTGTATATAGATAGTTAATATCAACAATATGGGCGCCATGGTGTTTGTAAATAGCTAATATCAACAATACAAGCGTCATGGTGTATGTAGATAGTTAACATCAACAATACGAGCGCCATGGTGTATATAGATAGTTAATATCAACAATACGAGCGCCATGGTGTATATAGATAGTGAACATCAACAATACAAGCGCCATGGTGTTTGTAAATAGCTAATATCAACAATACAAGCGTCATGGTGTATGTAGATAGTGAATATCAACAATATGTGCGCTGTGGTGTATGTAGATAGTGAATATCAATAACATGAGCGCCGTGGTGTATGTAGATAGTTAATATCAACAATATGAGCGCCATGGTGTTTGTAAATAGCTAATATCAACAATACAAGCGTCATGGTGTATGTAGATTGTGAATATCAACAATATGTGCGCTGTGGTGTATGTAGATAGTGAATATCAATAACATGAGCGCCGTGGTGTATGTAGATAGTGAATATCAACAATATGAGCGCCATGGTGTATGTAGATTGTGAATATCAACAATATGAGCGCCGTGGTGTATGTAGATAGTGAATATCAACAATATGAGCGCCGTGGTGTATGTAGATAGTGAATATCAACAATATGTGCGCCGTGGTGTATGTAGATTGTGAATATCAACAATATGAGCGCCGTGGTGTATGTAGATAGTGAATATCAACAATATGAGCGTCATGGTGTATGTAGATAGTTAATATCAACAATATGAGCGCCATGGTGTTTGTAAATAGCTAATATCAACAATACAAGCGTCATGGTGTATGTAGATAGTGAATATCAACAATATGTGCGCTGTGGTGTATGTAGATAGTGAATATCAACAATATGAGCGCTGTGGTGTATATAGATAGTTAATATCAACAATATGAGCGCCATGGTGTATGTAGATAGTGAATATCAACAATATGAGCGCCATGGTGTATGTACATAGTGAATATCAACAATACGAGCGCCGTGGTGTATATAGATAGTGAATATCAACAATACGAGCGCCGTGGTGTATATAGATAGTGAATATCAACAATATGAGCGCCGTGGTGTATATAGATAGTTAATATCAACAATATGGGCGCCATGGTGTATATAGATAGTTAACATCAACAATACGAGCGCCATGGTGTATATAGATTGTGAATATCAACAATACGAGCGCCATGGTGTATATAGATAGTTAATATCAACAATATGGGCGCCATGGTGTTTGTAAATAGCTAATATCAACAATACAAGCGTCATGGTGTATGTAGATAGTTAACATCAACAATACGAGCGCCATGGTGTATATAGATAGTTAATATCAACAATACGAGCGCCATGGTGTATATAGATAGTTAACATCAACAATACAAGCGCCATGGTGTTTGTAAATAGCTAATATCAACAATACAAGCGTCATGGTGTATGTAGATAGTGAATATCAACAATATGTGCGCTGTGGTGTATGTAGATAGTGAATATCAATAACATGAGCGCCGTGGTGTATGTAGATAGTTAATATCAACAATATGAGCGCCATGGTGTTTGTAAATAGCTAATATCAACAATACAAGCGTCATGGTGTATGTAGATAGTGAATATCAACAATATGTGCGCTGTGGTGTATGTAGATAGTGAATATCAATAACATGAGCGCCGTGGTGTATGTAGATAGTTAATATCAACAATATGAGCGCCATGGTGTATGTAGATTGTGAATATCAACAATATGAGCGCCGTGGTGTATGTAGATAGTGAATATCAACAATATGAGCGCCGTGGTGTATGTAGATAGTGAATATCAACAATATGTGCGCCGTGGTGTATGTAGATTGTGAATATCAACAATATGAGCGCCGTGGTGTATGTAGATAGTGAATATCAACAATATGAGCGTCATGGTGTATGTAGATAGTTAATATCAACAATATGAGCGCCATGGTGTTTGTAAATAGCTAATATCAACAATACAAGCGTCATGGTGTATGTAGATAGTGAATATCAACAATATGTGCGCCGTGGTGTATGTAGATAGTGAATATCAACAATATGAGCGCTGTGGTGTATATAGATAGTTAATATCAACTATATGAGCGCCATGGTGTATGTAGATAGTGAATATCAACAATATGAGCGCCATGGTGTATGTACATAGTGAATATCAACAATACGAGCGCCGTGGTGTATATAGATAGTGAATATGAACAATACGAGCGCCGTGGTGTATATAGATAGTGAATATCAACAATATGAGCGCCGTGGTGTATATAGATAGTTAATATCAACAATATGGGCGCCATGGTGTATATAGATAGTTAACATCAACAATACGAGCGCCATGGTGTATATAGATTGTGAATATCAACAATACGAGCGCCATGGTGTATATAGATAGTTAATATCAACAATATGGGCGCCATGGTGTATATAGATTGTGCATATCAACAATATAGGCGCCATGGTGTATATACACTGTAGATAGTTAATATCAACAATATGAGCGCCATGGTGTATATAGATTGTGAATATCAACTATGGGCGCCATGGTGTATGTAGATAGTTAATATCAACAATACGAGCTCCATGGTGTATATAGATAGTTAATATCAACAATATGAGCGCCATGATGTATGCAGATAGTGAATATTAATAATATAAGCGTCATGGTGTACGTAGATGTAATATTAACAATATGACCGTCATGGTGTTTGTACAGGTAACATGAAGCAGATTAACGCCATGGTGTATGTAGATGTAACATTAACAATATGTTCGTCATGGAGTATTTGGATGAAATATTAACATTATGAGCGCCATGATGTATGTACATTGTCGATTATTATAAATTCGTATTTACCTGATGCGAGTCATGTCATGCTTTGTATGTAAGACATGTTTTAAATGTATGACGTACCTGATAAGGGTCATGACATGTTTTACGTGTATGACGTACCTGATGAGGGTCATGACATGTTTTGTATGTATGACGTACCTGATGAGGGCCATGTCATGTTTTATATGTATGACGTACCTGATGAGGGTCATGACATGTTTTATTTGTATGACGTACCTGATGAGTCATGCCATGTTTTATATGTATAACGTACCTGATGAGGGCCATGTCATGTTTTGTATGAATGACGTACTTTGATGAGAGCCATGTCATGTTTTATTTGTATGACGTACCTGATGAGTCATGCCATGTTTTATATGTATAACGTACCTGATGAGGGCCATGACATGTTTTGTATGTATGACGTACCTGATGAGGGTCATGACGTGTTTTGTATGTATGACGTACCTGATGAGGGCCATGTCAAGTTTTGTATGAATGACGTACTTTGATGAGAGCCACGTCATGTTTTGTATGTATGACGTACCTGATGAGGGCCATGTCATGTTTTGTATGTATGACGTACCTGATGAGGGCCATGTCATGTTTTCTATGTATGACGTACCTGATGAGGGCCATGACATGTTTTGTATGTATGACGTACCTGATGAGGGCCATGACATGATATGTATGTATGACGTACCTGATGAGGGTCATGTACATCGGCATGACGGCCATGGTCCCTATCAGCTTCTGGACCATGTCGACGGCTATGTAGTAGTAGAGGTAGGGGCAGTCGCTGACACACATTCCTGCCGTTGTCTGACCGCTCTCCACCTTGCTACAGCCTCCATATTTCTGGGAACCAGATACATGTAAACAAAACAGTGGAATTGATGAACTTAGGTTGAGTTGACATTCTATCCTGCGGATATTAAATACCAGCTAGGCTAGCTTCAATAAGTAACCTTCCGTAACAGCTACATCCCATTTTATGATGCTCTAGATGCTGTAAACCTTCAAATATGCATTGAGGTGGCCGTGTGACTTTTGGGGGAATATAACTTTATTATTCACAGGGTTATATAATCGAGTTTATGAAAATCGTTTGTGCACACGTGCAAATATCACTTCTCGTGCATCAGTGTATTTGTGTCCGTCATCCGGACGGCATTGTTGACGTCATTCAAATCTCATTGTGACGTAGAGACGATATGACTTCATGCTAGAAACGACGTTATAGCTGAACATTGTTGACGTCATTCGACAAATTGTGGTTTTCTGAGATGGCGGTGGGGAGTTGAAAAGGATTAAGAAATAATTAAGGATTGACTGTGTATTTTTTTCGGTTCATTGAGGTATGAATCGAAAAACCAATGTGCAAACTGTATGAATCCGCGTAGCGGATTCTTACAAAAGTTTGCACATTGGTTTTTCGATTCATACCTCAATGAACCGAAAAAAATACACAGTCAATGCTTATAATTAAATTCGACATCATAAAACATGTTTTATCTACAATAGTTTAACCAAAAACAGTTGTATATATAAAAACAGACACAAATTACGACGTTGATAAACATTCCAGGTGTAGGAACACATACTGTGGCGTGACATGAATCAGGTGATTGTTTAATTCATGCACATAAATTGACACGCCTTCACTGTGAGTAGCCAATCAACGGAGAGCAGATCAAAACAATGTTCATTGGACCTGTCAGTTAAGACAAGAGGCGAAAAGAACTGCAACAGTCAGACTGTAACGAACTGGAAGAAATATGTCCGGGAGAAGGCGGCTGTTTCAAATTACATGGTCAGTTACCGCCAGATTCAAACATTACTTCCCAGATTACGGTAAAACACAGTTGGAAAAATGTTAGTTAGAAAGGAAACCCGAAGACATGAAAGTTGTGGAACCGAGGCGAGCGGGAAAAAAACAGGTGAGCGAGCCTGCACGTTTGCTGTTTCATTCATTCTCGGCCTTCGGTTTCAAAGGTTTGTTTGGACAATGAATATGCATGAAAGTCGCTAAATGTCCTGTGCATGACGATACACGTGAGCAGAAAGGGAATTCCCTCGGCTGTAATATTGGGATTCCCCGACATAAAAAGTAGTGCGCCTCGGTGGGCGTGGCTTAATTTTTTACATTCATTGGGAAATGAATGCAATAACACGTGACCAATTCAGCTAATCAGAATACAGGAATTTCAATGAACACAACGAAAATTTAATTATTGGCTAATAAAGATATTATTACACTTACACGTGTTTCGTACTGATTTTATGAAAATCGTGTAAGAGTTCATGTATTACCCTCGCTCTCGTTCCGAAAATGTAAGAATTCTGACACTCGTTTCGTAAAACAAGTATGGCACACATACCCCGTATACTATTCTCTATAAAATACCTCTCATCGCCCACCTATTGCATTGTTTTTTGCATGAGACAACGCTTCAAGACATACATATTATTCTCTGAAAGGATTAGCCAAACAGTTTTGGACACACAGCACATGATATTTCAGAACCCTTCCAGCATATTTGGGAACAGATACGAGAAGACCTTAAATTATGGGACTTGTTGGTAACCTGCCTGGCGCTCGACATTAATGGGATAAACATTAGTACTGGTCGGAAAGGAGTCAGTATAAATTGGTTCTGATTATGGTTCCCACAACGACATGATATATCAGTGGGCTAGCACTATAAACCCGGCAAAAATCCGGACTAGCAGTGACACACGTGCTTGCACATCGCTACACAAGTGAAATAATCGCGAAAGCAACGTTAAACACTTTTTACCTAACTTCGCGTTAGTAATAAGCAATTTATTAAGCGACTTCAATACTTAGCACAATTGGGGATCCCGTACCGACAGAGTTTGGTTTGTGCAGCCGGCGAAACAAGGGGAGAAGTATGTCATCCCGTCGTCCCCGCAGACTGGAAAGTAATTGGTGCTGTCGCACGAACACACGCTGATGCCGTCGTCGAAAGTGATGATACTGAAACAATACCACATAACAAAGCATGAGTTTGGCTAAAGCTGGATTTGAACAGTACTTTATTTTTTTCACAGCATGGTTTGGGAGGATATCCCGAAGTCTTTGAACAGTATTCCAGTTATATCACGGCGTGCTGGCTTGATGTGGGAGGAAAGAAGTGATTCGGGTCTGAGACGTTTACAACGGGTATGTTGCCGTATAAGTAAGAAACACGCGAATCTGGAATACGAACCTAAGACCGTGGACTTCTGGCACGCCTGAGGGATCTTCACTCTGATTAGGTATACCTCTATTTACAGTATTAACTATGGGTGGAATATTGATTGTATTGTTAAAAGTCTTAAAACACTTTCACATACTTACCCCTTGCTGTCATGGAAACCGTGAATTTTTGGCGTATCACAGCCGAGGAAACACATAACAACACTGCAACATATCGCCACAAGCAGCGTGAAGAGGGTAAACTTGAGGCAACCAGCTCGCGTCAGTTTCAGACGACTCGTCAGAAGTCCCCCAATGAAGGTCCCGACTGTGGCGCTGATGAGAGTCTGTACCCCTGCAACACAGTCGTACACATTAGCAGCGTCCTTGGACATTAATACGACAGCTTACACTCTTGAGAGGAGATGCTTAGTAACATGTTCATTTCTTTAGGAATAATAATATACATAACTTGTACGTTTAACTTTTTAGTGAGAGAGTCAGCTAGGTTTGTAGCCGCTTTTTCCAAAATTACAATTATATCACAGAGTGATGAACGCCTACAGTGATGCAGGTCCTCGAACCTCCTTGGAGCATCAAGTATCAGAATTAGGGCGAATCCAGCTATCCAGCTCACGGGCATCGGGTATTGATACCACAAAGCTACGCACTTTGCACAGCAGAACCTGGTATGCAAACAGAGCAACACCTGGTGTCATTACTGATTTTCAGTGATCTATTCGTAATAGTTTTCACCGCTAGTTTGCCTTTTACGCCCAATGGAATCTGTTTCGGGGATAATTCATTGTTCTCTGTCGTTGACGTTTTATAATTGCATGGCTGGATCATTAACAATACCTGCAGCAAAATGTGTACTGCCGTATCAGTTTCATGAACAACTGTCAGAAAACAAACTACAGATTAGAAAAGGATTCTCAAATACATATAGGATTATGTGAACTGATGATGTTATCTACCTAGGATGATGTTTGTTTTGGACGCGGGCACCATGAATTGCTTCTCCACATACTTGGATGAGAAGGACTGGCCTCCGCCCACGAGAAACAGCAGGAAGAGCACGCCAACCAGCGTGAGGCTGTAGACAGGACTCCTCAACACACGGGACATAGACCGGGGTAGTTCTGAAGCCAACATTATGTCAAAGAGAACTTACAATAAGCTGATGACGCATCCTAGCTGATAACTTCATAACTCATGGGATAGATCAGCTGGACAGTTCTAGATATGTATTATATTAGCACGCTGCTTCATTGCCATGCTTGTTTGCAGTCTAATGCCGCACTAAGCAATATTCGAGCTATATGAGGGCGGCCTGCACATCATCGAGTCTCGACCACATAATGCAGTGATCGATAGTCTGAGCAACGATCAATCTGATTACAGTGACACGCTGTCAACCGATCCTTTTGCTTGCATACGTTGCTGCCTGGGGACCTATTCAAACCTAGAATCCCCACGGGGCTCTTTGAAACAGAAAAGGATTAATTATGAAATAACCCGCATCGGTGGTCTTATGATCATATAAGTGATTAGAATATTAAAGTGTGTAGTGAGTGAGTGAGTTGGATTTAACGCCGCTTTTAACAGTATTCCAGTTATATCATGGCGTGTCAGCTTAATGTGGGAGGAAAGCCCGAAGTGATGCAAATCTCAGACGTTTACCACTTCGGTGAAACCCACGAGCACGGGTATGGTGCTGACAAACCTAGAAACATAATTTGGGCGAACCGGAATTCGAACCCACAATCATAGGTTTCTGGCGTTCCCAAGGGACGCAACTCTGCACAGCGAATCGCGGCGCCTTAGACGACTGGGCCACCCATGCCTTCTAAAAGCGTGTAAGTAGAACGTGGCTGTAAATAATTGATTCAGTACATTGTATATTTTTCTTTTCTGTGAAAGTGCCACTGAACTAATTCGTATGTTTCAGAATATTATCTAAAATCTATTTAAATTTTATAACGATCTGGCACCTTTTATTTTCTCTTTCATGGGAACGTCCTCTTTTGGCGATTGCTTTTCTTTGGGAGGAACAATGTGCTTCGGGAAGAACAGTAAAGGTATTGCAATGACGACACCCAAGCAGCCGAACAAGAGAAAGCCAAGCCACCATGCTCCAATCCATTTGGGGTGTCTTGGTGTCAACTCTGTGTCTAGAGTGACAGAATGAAAGGTGCTATTAAATTCAAACAAAAACCTCACAGAAAAAGGTAAATCTGGTCACGTGTCGTCTTCATCATTAATAAATAGGTGAGGGGATGAAATTGGGTTTAATGCCAAGATTATTGCACTTATATAGTGACTTGCATGCACGTGTGTGTGTGTGTGTGTGTGTGTGTGTGTGTGTGTGTGTGTGTGTGTGTGTGTGTGTGTGCTTGTACTAGTCCGGACTGATGCCGATTTAGTGCCAGCTCACTGAGAAACCTGCCGCAGTTTAACATGAATATCCCACTCAGACACAGTATGCTGACTCCCAGCCGACCAGTCCTTGTTTTATCACCTTAATACCGAGCGCCTTTAACGTCTTTTGGTATAACGCGGCCGGGGATCGAACCCCGGACCTTTCGTTCTCCATATACTGAATAGAAACAAGTGCCTACTCTTTGTCTTTGAAGATAAAATAATGTCAATGTTTTTATTTGGCTTATGAAGGACTCCATAGGATTTTGAGAACTTTAAAAATCATGTCTTAGTCAAAATGCAAATATTTACCATAAACGAATTGCGTGAAACGTCATGATGCAAAACTTCTGGTAGTATGTTGTTGAATAACGTCGATATGATCCAATTCTAGTTGATAACTAGCTTTCTTTTTACTTGCATAGAAATGATGACGTTTGATTTTAGAATAGTGGTGAGTTGTGCTTGGCTGAGTTTAAGCAACAGTTCAGTCTTAAGTAAAGAATCACATTCAGTGGATCCTGGTGTGGCAAGCTGCAGGACTGAGGCCCCCGGGCAAGGCATGAGTCTTTGGTTTCCGAGATAGTTTGTAACAATAAAAATAACAGTTCCTTGTTAAACACTACTGGTTATATTTCGCATAACTGAGACATACTTTCTAATTTAAATAATTTATTCCCATGAAGGGTTAATTTTACTGCAGTTATTAACTGTAAGTATATTTATTTCTGTCATGTGCACTGGTATGAAAAATAGATGCTGCAGTCGCAAACGTACCTTGCAGATCAACAGGGATGGTCCTGAAAACTCCTCCTAGTGCCACCGCCATTGCAGGACCTAGAAACTGCATCGTCATGCTAATACCTGCACAACACCAGCACCAGTGTGAGGATAACACCAGCATCAATGTAAGGACCGCACAAACATCAATGTAATGCAATATTCAAGGTATCAGAGAAAAAGAGAAAAAAAAATCAAAAGGTTTTATGGTAGACGTAGGAGGGATATTTCCAAATTTGACTCATCAGTGACAAATGATGCCATTTGTACCGTGATACGTTCTTGCGTTTTTTCAGGTGAACAGTTGACCTGCCTTTGCATGTGTTTGTGACGGGTGCCATCGGTGGAGCTAAGATACCCGCATCTTTTCGCGAACACCCGGTATCATCACTATTTGATAGTGATTCAATAACATATGCTCATGATACACTCGGAATCGTACAATGGGCTCTGCTTTTAGCAGATATTGTTTTATGTGAATGACAAGGTTTCTTTGTGGTTTTTATTAGGATTAGTAATGTACTTACCAATATAAATTCCGGATTTGGTCTTTATGAGATTGTTGTCATCGATGTAAGTGGTTGACAGAGAACTTCGGGGCGATTTTGCAATTCCTTGAAGAACCATACTGCCCCCTAACAACCACACTATCCATTGTGGCCCGCCAGACCCACTGGCCACACCCTCCTCGCCACACCCACCCGACGTCACGTTGGCTGGGTCACACAGAGGGGTCACGAGCCTCTGTTCCACCGATGAATTCAGAACATTCTCCGTTGAAAGCTTGGGTAACTGGTAGGGATTAAAGAAGTGACACATACTTGCGAAAATACCAGATACGCCAAACAGCAGGCAGGAGAGAGAGAGGATTCGGGGAATATGACGGTAGCTCCCAAAATGACTAACGAAAAGAACGGTGCAGAGAAAACCAATGTCATTGCAGCCAAGGATAATGCCAGTTGTCGTACTGTTCAGATTGAACTGCTTTTCCAAAGCTGTTACTTGAGAGACAATGTAAACACTCAACGACTGTGTTATCATGGATGCCAAGCCGTAGAACATGGAAAATGATAACACATTTTTAAAACATTGCATAGCTTGAGGACGACATGATCCGACTCCACAATGTGACTCGAATACGTCTTTGTCATCAGCTGGTTTGGCACCATACATGGACGTCTTCGCCGACATGGTTTTGTCGCATGTACCGTCGTCGTCTTCTGGAAGATGAAAGTGGCGGGTGTTATGGACGTCGTACTTTATTGTGAGGGGATATTACCTTTTTTCTCTAACGAATGTGGAACGAGCAAAAGCTCTAAACACCAGTAATCTGATACCTCATAAGCTACAGCCAGACATTTCAGACGCATTAGGTCAATATTGACATCGAGTTGTCAGTGAGTATTTTCACATACAAAGCACTTGACAAATAAAAGCGATAAAACCGTGTCTATATTCATAAGAAATGTCTGCCGAAAGCACGTACCAATGACGGAAAGGACCTAAACTTAGGGACAAAAGAGAGTATACCGACTTTGTTTATGTAATTGAACATTGAAAGAACTGTGGTTAAATTGGATTATGACTATTTAACCATAATTCATTCCCGCAACAGGAAGTAATACGTGACAAAGTAATCTGTGGCTGGTTAATGTTGTAGAACAATGTATTGGTTCAATGAAGCCAGGGGTAAGAAATGAATTTGCAATTTCATGACCTCTACCGTGTTCGAAATGTTGTAAATTTGTGCCGAAAGAAACCCCCAAATATACTTACTTTCAAAGATGAGATGTTAAAGATAACCATAAGAAGTTGTGTATTATCAGATTGTTTTTTAATTTTTAAAAGTTTTGAATAAAAATTAATTAACAAAACCAAACCATGTATAAGTATTCTTTGAGTTCTACACTAAGCGACAGTATAGTATTCTTTTGGATATAATATCGCTGTATATATCACAAAATCAACTCTTAGGTATTGTTTCCTTTGCTCGTAGTTTTATGGGGACGATTCGTTGTTAGTTTGCAATAAAAGACAACTTTACGAACGAATACAAAAATATATAAACACAGTTTGATTGAATGAAGTGACAGTAAATAGTCAGTATGAAATTTGCAAATACTTTCAATTTTATGTGTTGCCTAAAAGTATGCCTCACGTGACTGTGTGTACCCCAGCACTTTATGCTGATGAAGGCATATGCTGATAGATGTATGAACATTATAAGTGTGCTTCATTTCTGATAAATGTTTGTCACTTCATTTAATTATACTGAACCGCAAAAGAAACGTCACCATTGATAGATATATGAGACACCTTATTTGTCCAAACACTGTAAACATACTTTGAGACATATTAAAAAGATGAAACTTGGCAAAACTGATCACCACGGTTGAAATTAAAGTGTCAAATGTTCTTAAAGTGAAACACAACACTAGTCTCTGAGAAAGTGGCACCACAAGTCAGTATCTCGTGTGTCCGCCATGTGCATTGATGACTGCTGTGCAACGTCGATGCATGGAATGGATGAGGTGGTTGATGAAGGCCATAGGCACTTGAGCCCACACTCTGAAGAACGCCTGACGCAGCTCAGCTGCAGTTGTCGGCCTCGGTCGGACGTCATTCAGCCGTCTTGAATCTCGTCCCACAGGTAACTCATTTAAATCGGGACTGAGGGCAGGCCACTGCATGGTTCTAATGCCATTCTGCTGGAGGAAGTCTCTTGTTGCTCTCGCAGTGTGGGCATGGGCGTTATCATGCTGAAACTCGTGATTACGGCGACGTGCCAAATGAGGTATGGCGTGTTGTCTCAAGACCTCATCAATGTACCGAGCTGCTGTGACACCATAACCTCTCCCTGGACCGATGTTCTGGAAGACCACAGGGCCGACCTTCTGTGCAAGACCAATTCCACCCCACACCATGATGCTCGGACCACCCCACGAGTCTCTCTCAACAACACAACACATCCGAATAACGCTCCCCACGGCGTCGCCAGACTCTCTCTTCTCTCTCTCTCTCTCTCTCTCTCTCTCTCTCTCTAATGCTGGTGCTGTGTTGCCCACTGAAGACGTTCCCGGCGATGACGTTGTGTCAGAATGGGTCCTCGGGGTGGCCTGTGACAGTGGAGGTGTCTGCTCGTCAATCGTCGACGCACGGTGTCGGCACTAGTGTGTCGCTGGTGTGTCCCCATGGTCTGGCGAGCACTTTCCGCAGCAGTAACAAAGCGATCTTGAAGATGCTGTCACACAATCTGACGATCCTGACGTCGGGTGGTGACCCTTGGTCTTCCACTACGTGGTCGGTCATCTGTAGTGTTGGTGGTCTGGTATCGTTGCTGGAGCCTGTATATGGTCCTTACGTGTATTGGCTACTTGCCGGGCGGTTTGTCCAGCTTGCAATCGTCCAAGGGTTTGGTGTGGCTGATTTCTTGTTAATCTTGGCATATGGTAGCAATTCAATAACAAATGAATGTTATCCGATCTGGGGGGATTTTTGTAGGGCAAGAAATGGTGGAACGCATGTGCATTTCAATTTGCACGGAACTCACGTGCATCGGATTACCATGGCCGTTGCTGTGATGCGTTTGGGCGATCGGTTTTATTGTCATCTGCTTTGTTTTTTGTCATCAAATTTCATTTTTCTGGACAAGATAATGTTAAATTTTAGAAACTTTGACAAAAATTACCCAGAAGTTTAAATGACAACTTTTCATGCAATGTTACTTGGGGTGACGATTCATTTGCGGTTCAGTATATTATAGATTCGCTTTGTTACTGATATAGCAACGATGTAGGCCAGACTGTATACATCAATTTGTACCATGACATAGACAGGCTATGCAAATATAGACAGGGACTTATATTCTCCTGAAATACAATATACGAAACTTACCCTTACCTGATCAAACAGCCCCGAGAGCTGGTAACCTCATTGAAAGCTTCGTCTGCATAGGGTTGAAACGAAAACAACCAGATATATATATGCCTGACAGAAGTTACTTATAGTTTGCGTGATAGATTGACATCTGTCTTTGAATAGTGTTTATGACGCACGTCAACTGTCGTCATCAACACACTTGTAGAAGTAGATTCGCTGAGGAGACGCGGGTTATTGTGTGTTTGGCAGGCTCAAGGACGGACCGATGCAATCGTGAACGCCACACGGGCGCTAGCTGTGAACTTACCCAGGAAAACACATCTAATTTGTTTGATAGACGCTTTGTTGAGGGCACTGCACTAGCCTGCTGCGCAATTTGTGTCACGCTGGATCAATACATTGAATGAAACTTTAACACAAGCTGTAAAATACAGGTATAGTTGAGATATGAAAGGAAAACGCATGGGAAGAAAAATAATAACGAAGACTATAACACATCACGTGTTTTTGTATAATATAGCATGTGCTGCACGTTTGTAGGCATTATTGTGGCAAGGGGGCCCAGTCGTCTGAGGCGGCGCAATTTGCTGAGCAGAGTTTTCCGTAAATATTGATATTTCATTTCAGTAGATATATATCTGTAACATAGGTACATGAGGTATATAAGTGCAATTCATAACATGTAAGTGGGTTGATAATTCTTTCCATTTTCTGTCATATTTATTACGACTACTATTTTTCATTTCAATATTTTTTTGTCTATTTTACTTACATGTACATCTTTCGATATATTTATTAAAAAAGGCAAGTATAATGGAGTTTTCTTAATGCTTCACTCGTAAAAGTATTTTATTTCCAGCAAAATAATTTATCTAGTGATGTATCTGGTAATATGAATAACATATGCAAGTTTCGAGTTAAGGTACATTTCAACTTCTAACAAAAGTTCCTTTACAAAAACACATTCTACATATACATGGTATACATTTTCAGATTCAGTGATACAAAAAGAGCATATATCATCATCAATTAACTTCATTTCCAATAATTCCTTTTTGGTATATAGAGCTCTATTCAGCTCAGATCTATTGGATCTGTACTGGGAATCTAGTAGTTTAACATCGTTGGTACACGTTTTGCAGTTAGAAAAACATTATTCCATAATATGCTTTGATATAGTTAATTTTCCCGTTTCTCACACATCAGAGGAAAGTCAGTTGAAGCTATGAATTTATCATAAAATATTATCAACAAGTCTCTCAAAATGTAATATAAGTATAAATTATCTGTGATACAAAATCTGCCATTTATTACTTTTTTCAATGATTTAGGGATATTTAGCATAACTCTGTTTGTAATCAAGTAAAGTACCTTTAATTTGAAATTCGTCTTGCAATTCTTCAAATGTTAAAATCTGTTGTTGCTACATAAATCTTTTAAACTATGAATACCCTTATAAAACCAGTGTTTTAAAATGAAAGTTCTTTAATGTTGACAAAGTCGGTTTTGTAAACTTCGCCTTAAAAAATATAATTTCAGTGAATCGATAAATTTGCGGGTATCAGTCATTCTCAGACCACCTTCTTCTTATTTCCTTATGAAAGGAAATCATTATATTTTGTTTGGCTTGTTATTCCAAATGAATGTATAAAATAGTTTATTCAATTTTCCAATAAAATCATCGTGTGGATTTAGAAGTGCTGACAATGTATGACCTAATATTGATAGAGCGAGATTCTGTGAATTTACCTATTAATGTGAGATGTCTTTTTTCCAGCTTCCCAAATCTTTATTTTTATGTTCGAGTCTTGTTCTTGTTAATTACCCACAGATCATCTAAAGTTAAACTCAATTGGATTTTGCTGTGGATCGCGTAGATGTCGGCCTATTCACACACGACAGTGACATTCTAAACAAATTATCAACGGCAAGTAATAAATAAAATACTAAACTCGACCCTCCCGTGTAATACCAGTTTCACTTCGCTCGTCAGATACCAGAACTATTTACTCATTTCATAAAATTTTATATCACATGGGAGCTCGTTTAGTATTATATGGACGATGTTTCATATGCTACACTGTATGTATAATGTGTCACACGATATAACTGTTCGATAATGTTCAAAGCGGCCATTAACATGCTCACTTGTCGTTACACGTTGCTACGTATGATGTGCTCTGAGCTACACGTCACTATGTATGATGCGCCGTGAGCTACACGTCACATTGTATCATGTGCCGTGAGCTACACGTCACTATGTACGATGTGCCGTGAGCTACACGTCACTATGTATGATGTGCCGTGAGTTACACGTCACTATGTATGATGTGCCGTGAGCTACACGTCACATTGTATCATATCTATGTATGATGTGCCGTGAGCTACACGTCACTACGTATGATGTGCTCTGAGCTACACGTCACTATGTATGATGTGCCGTGAGTTACACGTCACATTGTATCATGTGCCGTAAGTTGTGTGTGTGATGTGCCTTGTGTGGACATTGATATGTGTGATGTGCTTTGTGTAGACAATGATATGTGTGATGTGCTTTGTGAAGACAATGATATGTGTGATGTGCCTTGTGTGGACATTGATATGTGTGATGTGCTTTGTGTAGACAATGATATGTGTGATGTGCTTTGTGAAGACAATGATATGTGTGATGTGCTTTGTGTGAACATTTATGTGTGTGATGTGCCTTGTGCTGACAATGATATGTGTGATGTGCCTTGTGTGGACAATGATATGTGTGATGTGCCTTGTGTGGACAATGATTTGTGTGATGTGCCTTGTGTTGACAATGATTTGTGTGATGTGCCTTGTGTTGACAATGATTTGTGTGATGTGCCTTGTGTGGACAATGAATGTGTCATTTGCCTTGTGTGGACAATGAATGTGTGATGTGCTTTGTGTGAAGATTGACTTGTATGATGCGCCTTGTGTAGACATAGATATGTAAAGTTTGCTTTACCTAGACAAATGTTATTGATTATGACAATTATGGGGGTCTCACAATTATATCATTTCCAAAGTATACGTTGACCTGGATGTCAACATACCCGTCGACTGGAGCCAAGACTGTCCAACACGATTCAGAACAACACTCATCAAAGCTCGGGTTGTTGTTTAGACCCCTGACAAGTGACAAGTAGCCGACAGTTGTTGACGGTGTGCGTGTCGTGAGATTTACACTGGCCACATGACCTGACATTTCACTCGACAGGGAAGCGTACTCCCCTGAATACGAATAACAGGAGGAACGGGCTTTATGCTTCATAACAGATGCTTTAATATAAATTGCATTCATGTAGAAAGAGACGCCTTGTTGAGTGGTGTCTACAAACGGGGCTGGTGGTAGGGATTTCGGGCGAAAGAGAAAGTATGCCTTAGACCACTACCCATTGTCAACTGTCTACTTCCACGTTATAAACATCCACACAGCAAACAAGTGGCGCCTTAGACCACTGCCCATTGTCAGTTGTCTACTTGCATATTATATTCATGCACAGAGCGAACAAGTGGCGCCTTAGACCACTGCCCATTGTCAGTTGTCCACTTGCATGTTATATACATCCACAGAGCGAACAAGTGGCGCCTTAGACCACTGCCCATTGTCAGTTGTCTACTTGCATGTTATACTCATGCACAGAGCGAACAAGTGGCGCCTTAGACCACTGCCCATTGTCAGTTGTCCACTTGCATGTTAAATACATCCACAGAGCGAACAAGTGGCGCCTTAGACCACTGCCCATTGTCAGCTGTCTACTTGCACGTTTTATACATCCACAGAGCGAACAAGTGGCGCCTTAGACCACTGCCCATTGTCAGTTGTCTACTTCCACGTTATATACATCCACAGAGCGAACAAGTGGCGCCTTAGACCACTGCCCATTGTCAGCTGTCCACTTGCATGTTATATACATCCACAGAGCGAACAAGTGGCGCCTTAGACCACTGCCCATTGTCAGCTGTCCACTTGCATGTTATATACATCCACACAGCGAACAAGTGGCGCCTTAGACCACTGCCCATTGTCAGCTGTCTACTTGCACGTTATATACATCCACAGAGCGAACAAGTGGTGCTTCTACTTCAGGACATGTATAAAAGAAATATGAGATTCAATATTTTATAAAGCATATTTGAAGAAGTGTTTTTATAAAGTCAATATTAGGAGCTAAAAGAACGTCGTAGTGGAGAGTTGACTTGCAGGCGATCATTGTTTCTGTATAGTGTTTGGTAGATTACTAGCTTTCGCCATGGCATCACCTGACAATGACACCGATGAAAATGTTGAATTTCGCTCAATGACCTTACACATATTCTTCCATATCAGTATGATCCCGAGGAAAGCGAGGTATACGTAGATCTATCGAGTAAAGACGATCAATAAGATCTCAACAGGTCAAGACTAGGGAACACAATCTGGTATTAAACGCTGTCCTGACATTTCTAAACAAAATGAATGTGTATCTGATAAAAAAAATCGCGAGACAGGTATTCTTGTGTAAAATATGCTGACGCTTATCATTGTCAAAACATAGTATTTTGTGTTCTTTACTGTTGTACATCCGTACACCCTGAACATGCATCATGGTACGACCTATCTGTGTACAGTAAATACGGGGTTATTTATTTCCAAGATGAGTTACTGGATATTCTAGATGATGTTGGACATGTAGCTTCTGTATTAGGTGGTGATTTCAATGCAAGGACAGGAAGAGAATGTGACTATTGAGAAGATGATATTATCCAGTACCTTGAGGGTCATGAAAATGGATTCTTTATTAATTTTCTTTCTGGATACCTTTTGTGCGTTTTGCTGCATATAGTACTGTTAATAACTTTGAAAAATGTTTGATCAACTTATGTACATGTTTGAATGCTCATATAATGAATGGGCGGTATTGAAGTGATTCAGGTAAAGGGGATATTGCCTTTATAGGTAGTTCAGCAGCAAGCGTAAATGATTATGTGAATAGGTCTAGTATTATTGTCTAACATTTGGCGTAATTTCACGACATGAGTCACAACATCTCCCACTCACAATGCCCTTACG